ATCTTCGTTAATACATTAAATTTGAATGATTTGATGGAAATCTAAAATGATGGAACGCGTTATTCCTATGATCATTTTTCGAACATGATAAAAATGTTATAATTCGGATGAGAAACCGATTGTTATATATTAAATATATGGTATTATAAATTTATATTTTATCGATTATATCGCATCGAAGGATCAGATCATAGATATGTAAGTATGTAAATATAAAAAAAGAAAAAAAAAAAAAAAACAAAAAAATAACCATGAAAAAGACTGAATATGATTAACATGGTCCAATAATAATCGGAGATACAGATGCACGCGAGCTTAATAATGGAGTATTGTTTTCCGGCACGATGAGCCACGTATATGACGTTATCAGTTTGAAAATATTTCTTTCATAAATCGGCGAGCTAAAATGTAATTTAGGGACGAAACCGCCCGTACCATTTATATGAATTTTCATGAAACCCGTTCGCGACCCAGAAGACCCGGACGTCGAGATAGAATATGCAGCAAACTTCTCTCTCTCTCTCTCTCTCTCTCTCTCTCTCTCTCTTTCATCTCTTTTCTCTCTTTCTCCCTCTTCCATCCTACCGTTCTTCCTCTCTGGAGAATTGCATTGAAAAGATTCTTTCTGCTAACGCACGCGAGCCAATATCGAGCTCTATTTATCGCTTTCTACTAGTACCATTTCCCCCTTTCCCCACTACAGTTTGTAGAAATATCGAAAACGTGTAAAAAAAAAAAAAAGGAAAAGGGAAAAAGAAAAAAGAAAAGAAAAAAAAAATTGGAGAAAAGAAAAAAAAAAGGACGAAAAATGAATTTGTTCCCGTTAATCCTTTAACTTCAATTATCTTGGACGTGGAAATATCTTTTGTTAAATCTCTTAAGACGTTATTTAAATATCATTTAAATGAATTTCGTGAAAATTTATCGTAGAAAATTTCAAAGAAGCTTTTGTAAAGGGCCAAATCTTATGTGCTTGTACGATCATGTAACGTTGATAGATGTAACATTGCAAAAATGATGCCAAAGTACAACGTGTAGAGGGTTAAAGTATCATACAATATGAATGCTTCGATTTAACACGTGAGTAGCCTACATGAAGAGTGTTGACCAAACTGTTAAGAATTGACCCATGGGAATTGTAAGAGTATTATCAGATATAGGAACTATGTGTGTGTTCCCTTTACATATTCGAACGGATATGTACTTTGAAGAGTAGTTTAGCCGCAAGAGACCTTATCAATTGGCGTTAAGACGTTGAGAATCGAGCAGTTAAGATAGGGAATAATTTATGTCGTGTTTCTGAAACATCCTACGGAAATATCCAAGTTCCAAATATCTTACTTGATATAGGAAAGAGAAAGAGAGAAAGAAAGAGGGAAATAGAGAAAGAGAGAGAGAGAGAGAGAGAGAGAGGAATGAATGAAGGATCAGAATCGATCGTACCTAAAGCAAACTTAACACCAGTCCAGGCTTGTCGTACGTAGTTGATTAACCTCCTATAGAGAGGCCTAGGTGGTCTTTTGGTTGAAGTTCCTTCTTCTTCGTCTCCGGTACCCTCTGAATCCAAAGTTCCCGGTGGTGGTCCGACGCCAGTTAAGGTGCCAGCTTGATTCCTTTCTCCTAAAATGTTCACGACCTCCCGTAGTCCGGGCCCGACGCCCTGCAGTCCTTGAGGATAGTTTGCGGGGGCGACGCCGGAACCAAGTAGGTTCGCGCCGCCCCCGCGACCTCTCCCGCGTCCACGAGTTCCACGGCCCCAGGCGGCTCCGCTGCCTTCGACGATTAAAAATCCAATTGATTAAAAAAAAATTCACACATTTTTTAATTAATATATTTATATCTCTTTCGATCAAAGAACAACTATTATTATTTCTTTAATTCTCTGATTCAATATTCTCTGATACATTTTCAATATTTGTCTATTACATGCACACGTACAAAAATGTCTTTTTAATTAAAATGTTTCTTATCGATTTATTCTTCGTTAATTAAAATCTAACATCAAGGATTATCTAATATCACAAAGGGTTAAGATCATTATTATTTTTATTTACTATTTCCTATTTGGTCCATCGAAATGATGAATGAAATCTTGCGTTTTTTTTCCTCTCTTTTTTTTTTTTTTTTTTTTTTTTTTTTTTTTTTTTTTTTTTTTTTTTTTTTTTTTTTTTTTTTTTTTTTACAATCATATGTAATTTTTTTTGAGAATTTTGTACATTTCTATATTGAAAGAACACATGTATAATAATTTCGGTTTAAATAATTAAACGTATATAATGATTGATTAATTAATATAATCGTCAATTCATGAAATTAAAAATAATATTTTAATATCGTTTATGAATTTAATTCGATTTTATTTACCTTGTCGTTTCTTATAGGAGGGTAGACCCACGACCGGGCCGCAACCCCCCGCGCTCCCCGCGACAGAGGAGCTGATGGTGGCAAGGCAGGGGGCACCCCGGCCGCCACCCCCACGACGTTCCAATTCACGGCTCCTGCAACCACCCCCGCCCCCGCCGCCACCGCCACCCCCGGCGGACAACACCACGACGGACCCAGGAGGACGTTTCCACCCTCTTTTTCGCGCGGGGCCCCTTCTTCGAGAGGAGGGCGCCGCTAATTTCCGTCCTTGGAATCGCACGCTTGTCCCTCCTGACCTTTTAATCAAACGATAAAAATACAATGATCTAATCTTAAAGCTTATTTTATATGGTTTCTATTTTTTTTTTTTTTTTTCCATTATTTTAATTATTATTTTATTCTTTACACATAAGCATGCTTATGTGTTCATTGATGAATGATTGTTAATGTATATATATATATATTTTTTTTTTTTTGAATAGTCCGTCTATATCAATAAAATTAATTCTTTCTTTTTGTACCGATTTACTGACGATGGAAAGAAAATTTTTTTTTTTTGATAATGATTGTCCATCAATGATTGTGGTTTTGTCTTATGCCGTTGGCAATAGAGATTGTTATTTTCATATCTAATTGTACATGAATTCTCATAGATCAGATTCTATTTAGTGACTAATGTTTCTGAAGTATAGGCAATGAACACGTTTAGTACGTACCACAAAATGTGGTTAATGTGGGTTCCTTGTGCGAGGAGAACAATCGACAATGAATACTCTCGTGAAACTGAGCATAATAACGAGAAATTAAATATCATTAATCTTTATCTTTATGTTTCGATAGTTTCTATTATATTTCATAATTCTCAATGTACTTTGCTTTTACGTAAACGACCTTTTTCTTTCTCTCTCTCTCTCTCTCTCTCTCTCTCTCTCTCTCTCTCTCTCTTTTTCTACCTTTCTATACATTTTTCGTAATGATAGCGAATGGACCTTCTCGGTCGTATGCACTTTTGAATTTCGTAGAAAATCCTTTGGGAATTTGCCTCTCTGTCTCTCTGCCTCTCTATTCTACGATAAAAACTTCTCATCGATTTGAATAGATCGATAAACATCTATTGTTTCCATTTCGAATCATTCGACTATTTCTTCCTTTTTTTCATGATTGTACAAATTTAAATAAATAAATAAATAAAAAAAAAAAAAAAAAAAAAAGAAAAGAAGCGTCGCGAAATAAAATTTGAAATTAAAAGGAAAAGAAGAAGAAGAAGAAAAAGAAAAAGAAAAAAAAAGAAAAAAAAAATAAAAGAAAAAAAAAGAAACAAAAGAAAAAACAAACAACTTACCCTTTTTTTTGTTTAAACCCGTTGCGAATATCCTTCAATAACGAGTCATTCGATACGATCGTCAAAATAATTTTTCACGTGGAAAAATATTCGTAAATTTACGATTTATTTCTACGTCGAGATAATATCCATCGATCGGGACGATTTAATTCGGACGTTTATATTTCTTGATATATCCACCCAATGTGTCGAACTTTTCCATTCAAGATATAAACCTATACGGTCTCGTAGAGTTGAACATTTCTGCTCGCTCGCTTGGTCGCTCGGTTAATGTTTCGTTCTCTGTAATATCTGAAATAGAAAACGCAGTGTTAATTTTGAGGTAAGTTTACGTAGAAAACTCGACCAGTTTTAGAAAGTTTCTGAACTGTTTCATTTATTCCCCCTCCACCCTCCCTTCCCACCTTTCTTTTTCTTTTTCCTTTTATTTTTCATTTTCTTTTTCTTTCTTTTTTTTTTTGTTTGTTTATTTTTTTTTTTTTTTTTTTTTTTTTTTTTTTTTGAAAAAGATTAAAATGCTAGAGCACGAAGGAGGAAGCGAAACTCGTAAGTAACTTTTACCTTAACTACAGATTACTCTCTTCATTATATATAATTCTCGAACGTAATTCCCTTAGTCCCGTTAGGTAGTACCAAAAGAATGGAGAAAAAAAAAAGAAAAGAAAAAAGAAAAGAAAGAAGAAAAATAAGAAAGAAAAAAAAAAGAAAAGAAATATTTTCGTATTTATCAAGAACTTTTACTTTTCAACGTTTGCTCGTAACGTTAAGAAAAAGTTCGATGGGACCGAATAAATAACAGTGAGAAAGCAAAACAACGAGATATATAATCAGGAATAATATTATCCTTTATGTTTTTATATAAAATATCCTTTTTAATCGGGTAACCTAGTCGAGATCTAGTATATATTTAATGTTCTAATAAAAAATAAAAAAAAATAAAAAGAAATAAAAAAAATAAAAAAAATAAAAAAAATAAAGAAAAAAGAGAAATCAATAGGTAAAGTAAATCGACGAATGATGTACCCCTTCTTCTCTCTCTCTCTCTCTCTCTCTCTCTCTCTTATAGCGTTTCTCTTTCTCCCTGTACCTATTGTGTTCGTATGAACAAGTATTATAACGCACGCACTTAGAACACGCATTAACTATGGTAGACTCGAAATGGGCAGGAACAATCGGGCAGCTAATCAAGGACTACAAGCGTGTCCCAGTGCGGCAAGCGTGTCACGAAGGCTTAACCAAGCGACCGCATAGCCCCAAGGACTAACAGGAAGTCCGAGAGTTCGAGGTGTACCATGGTGACTCTCCTTTGTCCTTCGAGACAACGATAAAGCATCATTTACTGTTATCTCATAGTTACTACGATCATCTTTCAAACGTGTATATATATATATATATATATATATATATATATATAATCATCTTTCAAACGTGTATATATATATATATATATATATATATATATAATCATCTTTCAAACGTGTATATATATATATATATATATATATATATATAAGTCATAAATTGGAATTATTTCAAAATAAATATATTTATTACACATAAAATTAAACAATATTTATATATATATAAAGATTGTTTTGAAAGATATAAATACGATGACGACGATAAAGAAGAAAAAAAAAGAAAAATGAGAGAAAAAAGAGAAGCAAAATAAAGAAGAAAAAATAGAGTATATCTTATATTACGTAGATATATGTACGCTAAATAAGTATAATCTGTGGCGAAGTAATCGAGTCAAAATGAAGATCGTGGAGAAGAGAGAGAGAGAGAGAAAGAAAGTGAGAGAGAGAGAGAGAGAGAGAGTGAGTGAGATTCGTCGTGCACGACCGCATTGAAATTTTTAAGAGTCACAGAGACGAATATAATTATTTACAGTGACTGACGTTCTTTCGTTATTATTTCTATTCTTATCTGAACATCGCGATAAGTAATAAAAATAATTTATTATTTTTAAATAATAAGAACGTATATATTAATATTTTAATCTTAACAGATTTCATCTAATAACGTAAAGTATATTTACGAAAATGTTAATTCCGATCATTTTGACGTTTTTATAAATAATTATTTAATTATTTATTCATTTGCTAATTTTACACTCGTTTCAAACTAGAAAGAACGTGAAACGACAAATCAATACTATGTTATTATCGATTTGTGTCGGACGACTATGTATATGTACGATGATTGATTACTATATGGTATTGTCAGTGATATAAGTCAACGTTGTCGGAAATGCAATATCGGAGTTATTACGAAGTTTTCTCTCTCTCTCTCTCTCTCTCTCGCTCTTTCCTTTTTTCTTCGAACAAGTTTCCAAGGAAGAAAAGTAGCAACTTCAGAATTTCGATTCTTCGAAAGTGGAAGCAGGTGGACTCGAGGTAGATAATGAATGTTTCATCGAGAATTGAGTCGATCTCGTCAAACTTCTTGCAAATTATCAAAGGAAACGTTAAATTAATAATCAAAAATTGAAAGATTTAAATGGAACAAGAACGGTGGAAACTATCGAGGATTCTTATTTATTTCCTGTAAGATAAAGGATAAAGAGAAGGATAAAGAGAATGATGTATGTGTGTATGTACAAATGGTGACCAAAATCGAAAGTAAAATCAACGGTTTAAGTTTGGAATCGAGCCAATCAGTGTTGTACGTGACTAAATTTTCTGATTCATCCTTTTGTTCCTCTTCCTTTCTCTCTCTCTTCTCTCTCTCTCTCTCTCTCTCTCTTTCTCTATCTGTCTATCTATTTCTCTTCTAGATTGGTCAAAAAAATGGGGTTACAGAAGATCGTTTCGCGAGACTTCTGCATTTCCTTTTCTCTTTTTTTTTTTTTTTTTTAAGAGAATTTATCCACTTACGATTTTTCGTATCGTTAGGATATATATATATATATATATATATATATATATATACTATCATTAAATTATACAGTTACATCTATGCATTCTTTCTCTTGTCGCGTGACATCATCCTCCATCTTATTTACTCGAAAATCCAACGTCTTTGAAAATTGAGAAAAGAAAATACGTCTCTTTCGTCTTCTTCTATTTCTTCTTTATCATCGAACTCCATTTATGTACCTTTCCTTTTCGTAGAAAGTTCTTATCTTCTCTTTTCGTTCGACCGCAAGAAGGTCCAGTTTCAAAATCGTTCGTCGAAAGGCAACAGGACGATGGCCGATAAAAAAAGAGTATGAAAAAAGTGAAAGGATATAATATTGGTCACTGCTTTTCGTGTAGTTCTTCTTCGACGTAACTCTTTCTCTCTCTCTCTCTCTCTCTCTCTCTCTCTCTCTCTCTCTTTTTTCTTTTTCTTTTGGGGAATTATTCGAACGATGGTATGCTGGTACTACTTTAAGGGAAATAGGGTGACAGAGATAGACAGACAGACAGACAGAGACAGAGACAGAGAGAGAGAAAGAAAAAGAGAGAGAGAGAGAGAGAGAGAGAGAGAGAGGGAGGCCATCTTCAAACGGTAGAATGTTCATTCCTGGATGCTATCAGTTTCCACCCTCCTTCATCTCGATTGCTCGGCCGTCTCGATGGGTCACTTTTCTCTCCCTTGAAATCTTCCCTTTTTGCTCTTCGACGCTACTCGACGCGCGCCATTCTCAATTTCCACGATGAAGTGGAGATAGATAAAGAGAGAGAGAGAGAGAGAGAGAGAGAGAGAGAGAGAGAGAGAGAGAGAGAGAGAGAGAGAGAGAGAGAGAGAGAGAGAGAGAGAGAGAGAGGGAGAGAGAGAGAGAGAAAAGGTTTGAAAAGGAGAGGAAATACCGGCTCTTCGTAATTCGATAAGATCTAGAGAGAAGATAGCTAGAGCTAGAAAGAGAGGAAGAGAGTGAGAGAGAGAGAGAGAAAGAGAAAGTGAGAACTAAAGCTAGAGCTAAAGCTATATATATATATATGAGAGAGAGAGAGAGAGAGAGAGAGAGAGAGAGAGAGAGAGAGAGAGAGAATGAGGAATTCTTCGAAGCAAAAAAAAAGAAATGCAATAAAATCTTGTTTCTTTTGAATTTTTGATTCTGGACACCAGAAGGATTTAACATTAAGCGTAAGTCGACGTTAGACACGAATGATTTATGTGAATTGAAGTGAACTCCGAATTCTCGTCCTTTTTCCGGAGGTCGAATAGAAAGAGGACAAGTCGCGTCAGATTCAACAAATCTTAAAGCGAAACATGTGGCAGCTCCACACACACACACACACACACACACACGCATATATATATATATATATATAAACATTTACTAATATACGTTCTGCTGAGGAAAGGACTACATAGATAGACTTTGTTCCAAAGTGCGGATCTATAATTTTCGAAACGGTGAACGACATCGACCACGAAGGAACACGAAGATACCACTTCCAGGGTTATGTACATCAGCAAGCAACCAATGCAAAGTACAGTTTCGGCTTCCCGTTGTCGTGCGATTTACGTGGCAAAGACGTCAAACCCAAGTGGTGCACGTTAATCTCGTTATACAGGTATACTAGGTATATCGTGTACAACATTCTGTCGTATGCGCCAAACCGAGTAGTGCCTGCCGATTTGAACAGCATAAATTAAACCAACCTCGAAGACGCGCGCACATACATACTATATACATTGAATGAGCGGTCGAACGGCATAGGTACTTTACTTATATACATATATATATATAATATACATATATATCTTATGTATATATACAATATGTGTATTTTGTGTTCGAGCGACGTGAAAATCCTACCAATGATTTTTCTAAAATTCGATACAACGATAGCATTCGCTTAAGAAAATCCTTGGTAAACTGGCAATCTTTGTGCTGTTTCTTTCTCTCTCTCTCTCTCTCTCTCTCTCTCTTCTCAATCTCTTTTACTATTCTTCCTCTTTCCTTTTTCATTTTCTTAGACCACCTACGTCTATTCAACTACGACTTAGGATTTACCTTTACGCGTTCTTCTTTATTTTTCTTTATTTATATATAAATACTAAACTTAACATAGTAATTTGCTTATGCTTAATCGTGCTATCATTTCCTTTGTTTATTTATTATCGATTATTTTAGAATTTCACGTAAATATATCTTCGTTTTGTTTTTAGACAAATATTTAGGACGAAGTCCGAGAAACATCGAAGAACGAACAAATACGATTGTTCATGTCCTTGAAAGGAGAAGCAACTTAAGAACGTTCGAACTTTCAATCGGATTTTGGACGATGACGTTGAGAGATCGGATTGGTACTTTGAAATGCTTGATAATGGTTCTATTGTTGGTTTCATCTTCACTCTGACCACTGCTATTCTATTGTATTAGAATAGAGCAATATCGTACCATCAAAGGATTCGATCTTTAAATGGAAACAATACTAATGAGATTGATTTAGTAGAATCATTCTTAAGTCTCATGAAAAAAATTATCAAGATTTCGTAATTGTATAAAATATCTTTCCTTTTTTCTTTTTTTTTTTTCTTTTCTTGTTCTTTTTTTTTTCTTTTTTTTTTTTCTTTTGGTGGTATACTTATCCATTTAGTATCTTATATTGTTACAATAAAAGCTAATTAACGAGTTACTTCGACGACTAATTATTTCATTCCAATTTCTATTCCTTTATTCAATAGGTATTACTTGTTCACCTAGTTTTCGTATAATAATTGAGTGGCATGATAATTACATCGAGTACGGTTTTAAAAATACGAACCGCGTTATCGATCATTCTCGCTTGTTAAGTCTTGTATTTGATTTAAAAAGCACACTCCAGCTCGTCCTCCCCTCTTTATTTTTAAAACTTAAAGATCTCTCTCTTTCTCTTCTCTCTCTCTCTCTCTCTCTCTCTCTCTCTCTCTCCCTCTCACTTTTTCTGTTACGTTTCTTTCTAACCATCGTATAATACCAACGTTTATACTTTAAAAAAGGGAGAGAGAGAAAAATGCACACACATACACATACATAAACGACAGGCAAGGTATCCGTTGGAAAAGAACGTTTTTAAAAATTTGTGTTCCTTCTACAGGTAAGGTGAAAACTTGTGGAAAAGAAAAGACGAGTCTAGCCGCATGTTTCTTATTTTACTGTTCATAAATCGTCGATGTTAACTCCGACGAGACTGCGAAGGGGTAACGTTACGTAAAAATTTAAGCACTCTTTTTGGTTGTTTACATAAACTTTGTGTACGGACTTTTCTTGGACCTTAACGCTTCGTTTTTGTCGTTGGAATATACGAAGGTTGAAAGAAACAAGAGAAAGAAAAAACAACTTCAAACGATATATATATATATATATATATATAT